CTGTACTATGAGTCCAGTGGAATATAGATATCAATTAAACTGCCAGCAACAGTATTTTCACAATAAAGTAATTTTTTCCACGTGTAAAATACCTTAAGCTTTACAGAGGTACACAAACAACATTACATATACTGTGTCCCCATGGACTGAACCACCTTTAAGACCTGGTACAATTTCTCGTTGTTTCATTTTTGATCCCATACGATTTGAAAACACATATATGATAATTGTCTATTGAGAACGGTGCTCGCTGTCCCATAAACATATTTATCATGGGAATTTAACCAGTTCAAACCGTAACGTTCTAAAAAAGCACAAAGTAACTTGAAGTAACTGGAAAGTAATTCATGTTTGTAGGAATATATTTGTTCATAGTTCACAGTAATTTTTTTTAATAGTTTATATTTTACAGTTTGCAATAGCCAGTAATCCCACAAGCCTTGAAAACCTGAAGGAATGAAGTAATTAGTTCAACTTCGATAAAAAGGTGGCATTTTTACCTAAATAAACGATGACTAAGTCGAGAACAAAGATATACCGTGACGTACTATAAAAGAGACATGTAATAGCCGAGGTCTTGATTATTCGGAGCGACGAATCTGCTTCTTTAAAGCAATCAATTAAAGTAATGGGAAGTTAATAGCCAAAGCTTTGGCCCAGCAGTAGCTCAGTCAATCGGCGGACGGGATTGGGGGAGGCGGACTGAAAACTGGGACCTACGTTCCAAGACGTTAGGAATAGGCCTGCTTGTAATACACAATAGGTCTGCTCGTAATACCACAGTGTAACTAGGAGCTGAGAACAATCAAGGTAATACAAGTTCAGGATGATCGGCTGTCATATAACAGCAGCGAGCTCAGGCTCTTTTGTCATGTTTTTGAAAGGATTTGTAGAGTTGTATGAAGTCACTTGCAGCGTAGTGAATAGAAGTGCCTAATAATTTGTGGAAATTGAAAGCCGATTTTGGGCTGAGCTGGCCTAAGCATTCTAAGTGTTTGCTACTCGGCTAAGATGCCGGATGTCCATACTTTTACGTGAAGGACGTTTAACTTGAGCAATCGTACGGCGTTGAACTAAGTAACACATGGCTCGTTAATTTACGAAGCGTTGTTTGTCTCAACCAATGTACTTTTTATATCTTCTATTAGCCGTTTTGTGTTGTTCGGATTTTGCAACCATATCTCGATATTATCATATCTGTGGCTATAATAGTTTGCACGAAAATTTCCAGTAATAGTTCTTTCAACATCTAGCTGAACTCAGACTGATGAGAGCCTGTTATAATGTGATTGCACATATGCACACACACAAACATAAGCGTAGATTCCATAAACAAAACCTTTGTATGCACGAGCATAACGTAAACATCCTTTTCTAATCCCCCAATCAAGGGTAGTGCTGACGGTGCGGTATTCTTACGTCAACAGCTTATTGCTCCACTAAACTAGTTACAGTGCCAAGTCTGACGCATGTTCATATATAAATATGTACACGTGACATTGCATATGTGATATATGTTACGTACGCTGAAGTTGGGTCTATGATCAACATTACATTTTTTCTTTAATAAGCATCGAATCGAAGCTAGTCCTTGATATCGTGACGCTCGATCGCATCTGCAGAAGTTAGCTTTTTCCAACTGACACTTAACATAATAAAACTTAAGCTTTTTCGGTCATCATAAATATTTCTGATACTGTTACCTGCCGCTTTTGTGTTGCCTGGACTGACACTGATCACCAGCTTTTAGGCACTTCACGATTCAGTTCACGTATGATTCCGTTAAGTCCGCAAGGAAACTCTTCAAGAAGTGTCTTTATTCATTCGCCAGATTAGCGTGAGTGTCACACAAATAAAACAGATCATTCGTGGAGTCACAATTTCCTGTGCTTGCTATGTGTCTATTTTCTGCCCGCTGTATGCGAAAGTTATCGTTGTTCCTTTATTTGCTAGTTTTATTTTGTATTATGCTAAAAATACACTTCATCTCACAGATACGCTAGTGAACGCTACTGGAAGGTTGACACATTTAAGTATTTTTGCTTTCATTACCCGCCAAAAACTTCTCCCGTTCGAAGAGTTCACTTCCACTGGCGACAATCGCTTTCGACCATAACTCAGCATCTAGCATAGAGCAACGCCTAGCAAATAAACCAGTCAGCTTGAAACGTCTATAGCGCTGTTTCCATTACGTTAGATGTTAACGATTTCGAACACATGGGTGTCGCCATCTTTGTTTGTCGATGCGGTTCGCTTTCAGCGGCGCGCAGTCAACCATCTATCCGCCATACCTACGGCACTTCTTTTCAATAACCAGCAAGCCAAAAAAACAACAGCTCTCTTCGAATGAACGCATCTCCCGTCGAAGCACCAAGCTCAAACACATTCAGTTTGTTATCGGCCGCTGCGCGCGCATCGAAACAAGCGCAACAGCGCGTTCAGTTTGAATGTATGGCGGTGCAACCGGATGTCAGATGCGCCAGGGGTTGGGTGGCCGACACACACTGCGTGAGTGTTTGAGCCTGTGTCCTGGCTGCTTCTATGTGTATGGGTGCCGTCGGCTCGGCAGCCGTGTGCGCGTGAGTTCCTTCTTCTGACTGTGAGTGCCTCTCTGGCCCACTAACCAGTGAGCAGGCCTACGGTCGAGGCAGTGTGCCGGCACTGTGCCCCGCGGCCCTCCTGCTTGTGACTGACTTGAAGCAGGGCGCGGGGTCCGTCCTCCGGTTAACGCAAGACATAGCGAAACCAGAGCGGTTAGTGGCAAAGTAGTGGCCGGTGAGAATACGAACAGAGATAGGGAGATCAAGACCGAAAGTTGAGCCTGAGGTACGTACGCCTGCAACCAAGCGGTCTAGCGAAAGCGGGCACGCGCACACAGGGAAAAAATGGCTCCCTCGTCGTCGAGCCGCCAAACCATATAGAGGCTCTATACTGCTACTGGCTGTACGCTTGGATACTATTGCTGGCGCTGCTGCAAGACCTGACAGGCTTTCGTCGACTGGACACAGAGTCAGGGGTAAATAGCGAGCGCGCGACTCTTCGCCCTCGAGCGGACAGCAGGCGCCGCTAACTCGGATGGACTCGGGGAGGGTGAGGTGCTCCTTCAATGCGCTCCTTTCTGTCAAAGTATTGTTGTCATGTGAGCCGCGTCGGTTTCGTATTTGTGCTCGTAGCGCTGTGATGTGCTCACGTTGGATTTTCGCGCGATACTTCGCACACGTGAGTACGGTCTTACGTAGAGTAACGTAGTGCCAGAGCATTGATGTGAGTGGCCACAACAGCTTTTGTGTGAAGTGGCTTTGGCATAGTGGAAAAGAGGATGCGGATAGTTGACGACGATAATGTTCATCCATGGCTAATATGAAAAATTTGCTTACACATTTAATAATCACAGTAAAGCGTCGTGTGTTGCTTGCGTGCCGTCCAACCGATCTTGAAGGTGTGACGATTTTGGTGTTTTTCTACGCAGTGCGAACGAGCTATTGTCATGGGGCAATATGATAACACTGTTTTCATCGATTTAATAAATTACGAATTCAACTTCCGTACAAGGGAAGTCTTGAGTAGTCAAGCTCAACCGATTTCACAGCGATATTTAAAGAGATTCATCAATGGTGCTAGATGTTTTACAATTTAGGATGCTGAATCGATTGGGCAGTGTGTGTACACTCACTGTTCAAAATATGATCGATTGGACAATTTTAAAATTACATTGTTTCGGAGACAAACTCACCAGTATCATTGCGAGCATTACGACACCCGTTCTATAGCATCGAATTCCGTAAGGATTCGATGTTCCCATACGAGAAGTCGACGACGTAGGAGGTTAGGAGTTCTTCGACGCAGGCGACGTGTTAGAGCTCAGAGCGCCATTTTAAAATTTAAAACCCCGCTTCGAAGCGCAGGCTCCGCAGACCCTGAAGGCTTTCGCCAATCGGAGCCCTGAGAGAGGTGGGCTTGCAATGGGAGGAGGGTCGCGCGTTTTGAACTCGACGGCGTTGAAATTTGCGGCATAATTTTTTCGATCCTTGACGCGAGGCCCCTGTGGCACTATGGCGCCGATTCAGCTTGTGTTGTGTTGTTATTGGCAGATATAGCGCGCGAGTGTTCGATTTGCGTCTAGTCTGCTATCTATCGGCAGTGGCTGTGGTCCTATTCAATACTCATTGTCGTTAATATTACGAAATGGTGAAGGGGAAATTGCCTCAGCTGTACACTGGGAGACAATACTAATAATCGATGTTCGTACCAAGATGATACTGTGGCCGTTGACCGGCCCACGTTTGTTTGTCATTCGCAGTGGCTACAGATGGGGTACAGCGGCTGATGAGGACCAGTCTATCGGACCAACCGCGTTATAGCTAGCTTGCGAACGCTTGGTACTAGTCAGTAAGTAACAACAAGAAAAGTATGTTTATTCCAAGCGTCTTATTGTTGCGAGTCGGGTGCTCTTCGATCTCTAACCCGGATCCTAGTTGGGGTTGGGGGTGAGCTTTGGGTTAAGCAGAGTTGGATGAGCTGCTGTGGCGGAAGGATGACGTTATTGGCCTAGCGGCAACTGAACTCAGCAATCGCAACGACAATTTTCTCAGCGAAATGAAACTAGTTTTGCTGTAGTTAGGATCGGGCCTGTTAGTTATATCGATCGGAACTATAGTGACTATACGAAAGAGGGTACATTGTTGAGGTACGCGTCTTGCAACAGTCTTGGGACAAGATACGGGGTACAATAAGCAGAGACGTGGGACAAACAATGACGTACTTGGGCAGACGCCGAAGAAGCTGAGTGTCGATTTGTATGATTCAGGCGCAGTAGAGGAACTTTTCCGTGTCGGCGTAATGGCGCGCACCTAAGCCGTCAAAAAGCATACTGTGTCGAAATAGATTTTTTAGGCGTCTTTTGCACGTTTTGCCTAAAAGTGGTTGATGTTTTTCGCCGTAGGTTTCAAGTAGCGCGGCAGGTCGCATAGTTCTGAACAGTGACGGTGATTGGCGGCTAGCGAAATTGATAGACCGATCGAAAAGGTATTCGTGATTTTCGTGACGAATACGTTGTGTGTATGTGCGCAGTGTTATCGAGTCTTGAGATGCAAAAGCGGCACTGAGTCCCGGCCCGCGATGGAACTTCGCTATGTAGGGAAGTTGCGTCTAGCATTTGGAACTGTGTTCACAATAGCCAATGTGAAATGCCTCTACTAATCCTAGTAAATCTTTTAGCTTGCTGCCTTACTGTTGAGTGAGTACTTACAAAGGAGAAGTTTCAATGAATTATTATATCTATAAACATCGAGTGGGGGGTCAGAGGAGCAAGTGGTCCCTTTGAATCACTACCTATCACACGTTCCATGTGTCTAGTTGACTTTAAAAATATCTCGCGTAAATGTTCCGTAAAGCAGACGATATAACATTTTTTTTACATTGCAGTTGAGGCATATGCTTTCGCTTAAAGCCTTATGTAAGAAATATTCTACTCTATTGTGTCTATCTAGAAAATTGAATTATCCTATTGTGAGTGTTTACCCAAATCGTCCACAGTAAGTAGATCAGACCCATATAGTATATATAACAACACGATTCGGATAGGTAGAATTCATTAATGACTTATCACAGACTATCGCTGTACCTATGATATTAGCCAGTCGATTTTAAGTAACCGATATACCCACATCGCTGTATGTCAACTCCGTAAGAATATTACAGATACGGTCTGCAGTTAGTTGCTGTACTAACGGATATCCCGTGCCGACGAAAAAAGCAATTTAAGGTATTAACAATTAGCTATATGAGCCATTGAATGCTTACTATTGTGAAACCGGGATAATTTTACGATCCTGATAGAATTTATCCGGTATTCCGCGTTTGCGTTAATCGAAAATTAAATACCCGGCATGTATAAAAACTACGCTTAGTATAATTATTGTGTTTTGTGACCGAAAAAAGTTGTAACATCTGTATCTAAAACGCTCAGGCGTCCTTCTTCTCCATACCTTAATACGATTTTGGCTTAATTACAATACGTCGCGAAATTTTATTACTGTTCAAGATGCTTAGTGCCTATGTTCTAATCTTTCGAGTTAAACGCCGCGTATTATCGTCAAGCATTCATTCATTCATACTGCTGATTCCCAGAATTAAAGAAAATGAAAGGACCTAAACTACTCCCATCTGTCCTTGTCTCGCAGGTAGATACTGTAGCACTGCATGATGACACGTGAGCCCTAAATGTTCCTATCTGGTCGAAAATCTGTCGGTGTTGATGCGCGAGTTAATCGTGGACGCCTCTGCACTGGTTTAGTTTACAAAAATATTTAAAAATTCTCAGCACGGATGATCCAGCCGTAAATTTCGTATATACTACAAGCTGGAGGGGAAAATATACTGGAGAATAGGAAAGCCTGTCGGGTGAGCTGAAATGATGAAGTGAAAGGTTCTTTTTTGAAAAAATGCAAAATTGTTGTTTGGGATTCGGAACTGAAAGCCCAGACTGTGATTTCAGTGCCTACCTATTCCGCCGCCGAAGGAAACTTACACATCTTCGAAAAAGTGCAGAGGGAAGCAAGCGTTCAAAACCAATGCTCTTTATAATTGTTTGTCTCTGAATTGCGTATGGGAACTAATGAACGAACAAAGCAGATATTTGAAGTACTCTATAATTTATCGTTATACAATGAGTATCGGACGTGATTAATACGCAAAAAAAAAAGAAAAAAATCACAAAACTAATGAGAAGCGCGTTAATGCGATTGTTCGCGATCCCGACGTCGTTAAATTGATTACAGACTAAGATAAGTAGAAGGTAAATAAAACATTACGGTGTCAATAGGAGCACTAATTAGTACACACTACTGTCGTAGAATAAGGAAAAAGTATATCTAAATAAAACTTTATTGTAAATCAACGTTGAACGTGTTGTTTGCTTTGCACTATCTTAAGTAGATTCTAGCGTTTTGATTTTCTACTCGCGGTGGCGCAGCTGAAAGATAAAAGAGACACGTCAGAGCTTGCCACAAGCGCGTAATATGATTTACACACAGTAAACTTTAGCCTTTAATTAGCAATTAATTTGTATAATTGCTTTCGCATGAAAATTCTGCCACGTCGAGCTGACATCGCCTCGTGTTCGTCTCCTATACAGCATACGATGTACGACGACCGAGAAAGGGTAGTCGGACCCCTCACGGACGTTCCTATGCGCGGTCGACGTCGACGCGTTCGGTTCCCATGGCGCTCGACAGCTTCCACTTAATGTCAAAT